CATACAGAAAGGGGACGCCTGGGAGCAAGAATAGTCATGGTTCCATAAAAACGCTGAAATCATGTTGGGCAAATGTTGCAAAAGGCCCTACAACTATTAGGTCTCTTGTGGTCATGCTCGGGGGCCCTTGGGCACTGTGCTGTTCTGAAGATGTCGGTCATCTTCACGTCTGTGTGGACCACCTCTGTACCATGGCCACACAGTGATTTCCTAGCCAGGTGTCTCTGCTCCTTTGCTCTTATTAATCTTCTGTGAGAGAATTTCAGGATTAGTCTCCTTTACTTGTACCTTTCTTTTTTCAATGGAAAGGATTTACTGGGCACCATCCTGATTGGTCCTTGCTACAAGGTTGAGTTTATTTTCCTCTAATAGTTTGCTGTAGGTGTAACTTTCATACTGTATAATTCTGCCTTTGTTAAGGGTGCGATTCCATGATTCTAGTAAATTGAACAATTTCTTGAATCTAATTTTAGAGCACTTCATCAGCCTGAAAGTCCCCCTCATGCTCATTTGTAGTCAATCCTTATTCCCATCCCGGGTCCTAGTCAATTACTAATATTCCTCACTCTATCAATTAGCCTTTTCTAGACATTTCATGTAAGTAACATCATTTAACATGTAGTCCTTTGCATATGGTTCTTTCACTTAGAATGATGTTTTTTTGAGATTCATACATGTTGTAGTACCTGTCTACAGTTTATTCCCTCAAATTGCTAAATGATGTTCCAATGTATAGTTACGCCACATTTTATTTATCTGTTCAACAGTTGATGGACATCTAGATTGATCTAAGTTTGAGGCTATCCTCAATTTGAGTCCCCCAAGTCCTTATGAATAAGGATGCTACAAACATTGAGTATACGTCTTTGTATGAATTTGTTCTCATTTCTCTTGGGAAGATCCCTAAGAATGGGGTTTATGGTTCTTATGATGAGTTTATATTTCATTTTTAAAATAAAGTTGCCAGTTTTCCATGCCCATTAATAGTGGATGAGTGTTCTTATCTACCTATACCACGAAGCTGAGTTTTAATCAGTCCTTAGGACTCAAACTTCTCAGTTTTATTGTATCATTTTGAGAAGAGATTGGCTCTTTCAACTCTCCAAATCCCTAAATTTTTGCACACTTCTTGTTTATTTGTTTGTTTTATTCCTAATAAATTTTGTCCAGTTCTTTTTCTGAGCTTGTTTCTTTCTTTAGGACCTTGTTCACCATAGCTAATAGCAACCAAAGCAGGCAATTAACATTCTGAGTTTCAGTCCCTTCTCTTAAAGCCATATGCTCATTCAGTCCATCATCTGCCTTCCAAATTAATGCAGGCGACAGTTTACCCGATGCCTCATCACTGCAAACATCCATCACCTCTTCTCAGCCTTTAGTAACAATCTCCTTGACAGCTGCCCTAAAGATAGTATACGGGGTAAAGTTGGGAGTTCATAACCCGCTTGAATCAAACTGTGAAATATGATGTATTAAGAACTATGTAATGTTTTGAA